TGTTTGGCGGGCCCGGGCTGGGGATTCGAACCCGCCACCTTAGGTGTATGTGGCTGGCGCCTTAGCCGCTTGAGCCACAGGCGCTGAGCCAGGAGGACTGTTTCAAGCTGAGAGTTCAAGGTGACCTATGATAGCACCACTGTACACCAGCCTGGCAATCTGGATTTTTCACTTCCATCTTGTCCTTACAATGTCTTAAAATCTTGTGAGCTCTTTGCTGTAAGAGTTTTTATAAAATGTATATATATTTTAAAAGATGAAGAGTGCCATTTGGTCACCATGGGGGCCAGCAGACCTCTTAACCTGTATTTTTTTTTTTTGAGACAAGAGTCTCACTCTGTCACCCTCGGTGCTGTGGCGTCATAGCTCACAGCAACCTCAAAATCTTGGGCTTAAGCAGTTCTCTTGCTTCAGCCTCCCGAGTAGATGGGACTACAGGCGCCCACCAAAACACCCAGCTATTTTTTTTTTTTTTGAGACAGAGTCTCAAGCTGTCACCCTGGGTAAAATGCCATGGTAGCTGGGACTACAGGTGCCTGCCACAAGGCCTGGCTATTTTTTTGTTGCCGTTGTCATTGTTGTTTTAAATGGCCCGGGCCAGGTTCGAACACACCAGCTTCAGTGTGTGGCCAGCGCCCTAACCACTGAACAATGGGTGCCACCCAACACTCAGCTGTTTTTTAGAGGCGGGGTATCACTCTTGCTCAGGCTGGTCTCAAACCTGTGAGCTCAGGCAATCCACCTGCCTCAGCCTCCCAGAGTAGTAGGATTACAGGTGTGAGCCACCACGCCCAGTCCCCTGTAAGTATTTTTTAGGGCAGATTTGTTATCATTTAGGCTATTGGCACATTTTATAATCTACATTTTTGCAGCTTCCTCTTCGTGATGATGTGTTTCCAATCCCAGAGCTTTAACTTGGAGATTATAAGCTATTGTAGTGTCCATGATTGGGCCTTGAAAATGAACTCAAAATTTGGGTGTGGGTGGGGTTCTTTTCTGGAGACAGGCTCTACAGTTTCCCCTCAGAAGGCTCTAGGATGCAGAAAAGCCTATCTTTGAACATTTTTCTGTGTCTCTAGGAAGAGGGTACTGGTCTTTGGGAGCTGTGGGGAGTGGTGCAGTGGGGTAGAGGAGGTAGGCAGAGATGCCCACCCAGGTCCTCTCTTGCCTGTAGGATGTGTCATCCAGTGACAGTGACTCAGACTGGGATGGGGATGGCCATCTCTCCCCACTCCTACCCCATGACCACCTCGGATTGGCTGTCTTCTCCATGCTGTGTTGTTTTTGGCCTGTGGGCATTGCAGCCTTCTGTCTGGCCCAGAAGGTGAGTCTTTGTGTGGGACTGGACATTAAAAACCAAAAGGCACCACAGAAACAATAGTACCTGAGGTGGGGGTGGGAGGAAGATGGAAGGCAGCCTGGGGTGTTAGTGAAGAGCCTGAATTTCAATCCCAAGTCTGCCACTAACTGGAAGATTCTGGGCAAGTCATTTCACTTCTCTGTGCCTTTTCCTCATCTGTAAAGTAGGGATAATTCCTACTTCCAGGTCACTGTGAGAATCAAATGAGGTAGAACAGTGGCACATGATAAATATAGGTATGCTTTTATTAATCACCCACCACCCCCAGTCCCCAGCTATGCCTGACCTCTAAGTAGGTGCTCTGTTTTGGGAACGTATGAATGGCTGGGCATGTTGGTGGGAAAGGGGTCAGGGAGATATCTGGGGTTGTGGGAGACAGGGTGAGGATGAGAGGATGCCTGGGTTACCGCTGCCCACTGCCTCTACAGACCAACAGGGCTTGGGCCAAGGGGGATGTCCAGGGGGCAGGGGCCGCCTCCCGCCGCGCTTTCCTGCTGGGGGTCCTCGCCATCGGGCTGGGCGTGTGCACGTATGCGGCTGCTCTGGTGACCCTGGCTGCCTACCTTGCCTCCCGAGACCCGCCCTAGCTGTGCCCCTGCAGCTCCCACTGTGAACCCAGCGCTGGGCAGCCAAGCACATCTGAGGGCAGAGAATCCTGATGGATGAGGTGGCAGCAGCATCCAGAGACAGGAGTGAGCTGGACTACCCCTTTCCCTTCCTGACCATTCACCTGGTGGTGACAGCTGTGAGATTAAACACCAGACACCCTTGCAGCCAAACCAGAGTCTGTGTGTGTGTGTGATAAAATGGAGGGGTCGGGATGTCTAAAAACAAGAAGGGACTGGCCAGGGTGACAGGCCGTGTGAGGCCTGAGCTGCAGAAGGGGATGAAGGTTTCCAAACTGCAGAATGGGGCTGGTGCAGTGGCTCACACCTATAATCCCAGCACTCGGGAAGGCTGAAGCGGGTGGATCGCTTGAGCTCAGGAGCTTGAGACTAGCCTGAACAAGAGTGAGACTCCCCTCTCTACTAAAAAAGAAAAAAACAGCAAGTGGCAGAAACTCAACTGACTGCCTTAAGAAACAGAAGAGAAGAAACCAGAGGGACATCTGGACTCAGGGGCTCAAGTGGGATTAAGGGTTGGCCCTCTCTTTCTCTGCAGGCTTCATTCTGTGCCAGCTTTCCCTTCTAGGGGAGAAATAACGGCCCTAGGAGTTCAAGCAGCTTCAGTACTCTAAAAAGCTTAAATTCCTTCCCTGGTGGGCTCTTATTGGGCTGCCTGGGGTTGGGAGACTGATAGATCCTTAAGGAAACATTAAGTGCTGGCACGTGGCCAGGACATACAGTCATCTGCCGCAAGCACCAAGGTACAAAGGAAGTGCTAAGAGGCCAGGTATTACAGAGCAATAAAATGGTATGTTTAGTTTTCTCACTCTGTTTAATGCCATTCTGATGGATTTTGCTAGAAGAAAATACTATCCCCACTTAACATTCCAGAGAGGCTAATGGAGCATAGTTTCAAACTCGATGGTTCTGCATTTCCTTCTTGGTCACCTGGGGTACGGATGACATGCATCCCAGTGGGGCAGTTGAGGGAATTCTGTGAGCTGTGAGGCAATGTGGCAGGGGACCCAGCAGACACAAAGACCCCCAAGCTATGGAGTATGGCCAAGCTATTGGATAGCTATTCTCTCAGTTCCTGCCCTCTGAACACCCTGAGGGTGGGGAAAGGGGAGTAGTCAAATGACAACTAAAGATACCTCCGGCTAGACACGGTGGCTCACGCCTATAATCCCAGTACTCTGGGAGGCCAGGGCAGGTGGACTGTCTGAGCTCAGGAGTACTGGACCAGCCTGAGCCAAAGTGAGACCTGGTTCTAAAAATAGCTGGGCATTGTAGTGGGCACCTGTAGTCCCACCTACTCCGGACGCTGAGGCAGAGACATTTGTTTGAACCCAATCATTTGAGGTTGTTGTGAGCTGTGATGCCGTAGCACTCTACAGAGGGTGACGAAGTGAGACTCTGTCTCAAAAATCAAAACAAACAAAAAATACAGCAAAAAAAGGATACAGGCTCTGTGCCTATAACTCAAGCGGCCAAGGCACCAGCCACATACACCAGAGCTGGCAGGACGAATCCAGCCTGGGCCCACCAAACAATGACAACTACAACCAAAAAATAGCCGGGTGTTGTGGCGGGAGCCTGTAGTCTCAGCTACTTGGGAGGCTGAGGCAAGAGATTGCTTAAGCCCAGGAGTTGGAGGTTGCTATGAGCTGTGATGGCACAGCACTCTACCCAGGGTGACAGCTTGAGACTGTCTTAAAAAAAAAAAAAAAATACAGCTTGTTGCCTATAGCTCAGCAGCTAGGGCGCCAGCCACATACACCAGAGCTGGCAGGTTCAAATCCAGCATGAGCCTGCCAAACAACAGCAACTACAATCAAAAAATAGCTGGGCATTGTGGCGGGCACCTGTAGTCCCAGCTATTTGGGAGGCTGGGGCCCAAGAGTTTGAGGTTGCTGTGAGCTGTGAGCGACATAGTGAGACTGTCTCAAAAAAAAAAGGGGGGGTGGCACCTGTCCTGTGGCTCAGTGGGTAGGGTGCCAGCCCCATATACCAAGGGTGTTGGGTTCAAACCTGGCCCCGGCCAAACTCCAACAAAAAATAGCTGGTTGAGGTAGTGCCTGTGGCTCAGTGAGTAGGGCGCCAGCCCCATATACTAAGGGTGGCAGGTTCAAACCCGGCCCTGGCCAAACTGCAACAAAAAAAATAACCAGGTGTTGTGGTGGGCACCTGTAGTGCCAGCTAATTGAGAGGCTGAGGCAAGAGAATCGCTTAAGCCCAAGAGCTGAAGGTTGCTGTGAGATGTGACGCTACAGCACTCCGAGGGTGACAAAGTGAGACTGTCTCTCTTTTTTTTTTTTTTTTTGAGACGGAGCCTCAAGCTATCTCCCTGGGTAGAGTGCCATGGCATCACTCTCACAGCAACCTCCAACTCCTGGGCTTTTTTTTGGCGGTCCGGGCTGGGGATTCGAACCCGCCACCTTAGGTGTATGTGGCTGGCACCTTAGCCGCTTGAGCCACAGGCGCCGAGCCGAGACTGTCTCTTTAAAAAAAAAAAAAAAAAAGCTGGGTGTTGTGGTGGGCGCCTGTAGTCCCAGCTACTTGGGAGGCTGAGGCAAAAGAATCACCTAAGCCCAGGAGTTGGAGGTTACTGTGAGCTGTGTGATGGCACAGCACTCTACCGAGGGCCTAAAAAAAAATAAAGATAGTTCCCATATTGTCCCTAGAGAGGACACTACAACTGGACCAATTGCCAGTGAGCCTCAACTTCCTGTTTCCAGGTGGGGATGCACAGTCCAGAGCTTGCTGGGCTCCCCTCCGTGCACTCTCAGTGCTAAAGGCTTCTTGAAGGGGGTAACTACTGCCCCTCTATTGACTAGCTGGTGACCTCAGGTAGTGAACAGGCTTCTGAGTTCATTTTCTCATCTTAAAGTGGACTTTGTAATAACAGCCCCACTTTACAGGGTTGTTGGGTGAGAAAGGAATACTCTTGAGCCAAATTCCTCCCAGGGCCTATAAGGCCCTACCTATGTATTGTAACATCCCCTCTGCCCCAGCCACATTGGATGCCTGGCTGGCCCTGCCCTCACCTTATCTAAGAGCTGGCTTCCTTTCCTCTCCCTGAGTGGATGTGCCTCTTCCTGTAAAGGCATCCCTGGCTATGTATTTGGTTTGCCCTCCTCAAAGAACTCTGTCAAACTTCTGTGCCCTGCTTTATTTTTTCATTGTATTGACCACACCATCTGACAAATACCAATTTACCTACTGCTTCTCAGTCACGGATCTAGGTCTTTCTTGTTCACTGCCAGTTTCTCAAGGCCTGGGAGGGTGTCCATGCAGTAGGTGCACCACAGACGTCCTTTAGAATGAATGGACTTATTGACTAATCCACCCAATAAATGAGAGCTTTTAACGATGTCCTTGTGGGCAAGGTCTGAGCCTCCAGGCCCGGAAGCTGGTGGGGTGAGCTGTCAAGGGCTGGGGCCCTATCTTCCCCGACTGGAGCCTGGGGAGATACAGAACCACAAGCCCACACGGGCACACAAGTAGAGGCGAGGCTGGGCCGCTGGTTTACTTCAGGCTGGAGGTTAAGGGTAGTGGCATTGGGAGGGGTGCCCTGCCCCGGCTTGCCTCAGCTCTTGGAGTAACGCCTCTGCAGTGATTCCCGGTAGAAGTGGAAGACATGCTGTGAGGCAGCCTGGGCTGCTGCCAGGCACTGCTGGAGCTGGGTGGAGGAGAGACTGGTCAGTACCCTGCACCCACACATAGCCAGAGGTTTAGCCAATCCCACCTGACTCCCTTCACCCCCAAACCTACTTCTCCCCCAAACCTACTTCTCCCCCTACCCCTCACATCATACCCCCACTACGTTTCTTCTTTCCCACTTCGTATCTCTTAGAACAGAAGAAAAAAGGTGAGGACTTCAGGGACCAGACAAAGGGATCATGCCTCCTGACACCTTGGAAGAGACCCCAGCCTTATAAAGCTATGGAATTGAAGAAGTCTTGCAGTTTTAAAGCCATGGGCCCTTTGACTCCAAATGTTTACTACCACATGTTCGTAGATTCATTGGAGGTCCATGATGCAAATGCTCTTGGAGACTGGCCTAACAGTTTCCAAATTCTGTTCCTTAGAGACCCAGAATTTGGGTGGCTCACCACTTAAGAGCTGAGTCCTTGGGGGGGGGGGGCTTCAGATGCACCTACCTCCTGATCTGATCTCAAGCTGAGCTCCTCTTTTTTTTCCTTTTTTCTATCTCATAAATTGGTCTTCCCTTTAAAATTTCCACAAATGTTTCTGTGGTAGCAAACTTTGAATACTCCCTCTTTTCTACAGATAGGGATGCGAGGAAGTAGCTCTCCTTAGATCTCTCAAGAGACTGAGGTAAGAGTTGGGACAAAACCTTGCCAGCTGCTATAATCCTAGCACTTTGGGAGGCTGAGCCAGGAGGGCTGCTTGAGCCCTGGAGTTTGGGGAAAAAGCTCAAAACCAAAACAATGCCTGATGTCAGGAAGTAGGCAGTGTTCTGGCTTTTACCCTCATGCCCACACTGGTACCTCAGCGTCAGAGTAGAGCCCCTTGGTGGTGGACATCAGCAGCTTCCGTTCCACACTATCAAGTGCAAAGGTCAGGACTGCCCGCGCCTCCTAGGGACAAGGGGTAGAAGGTGGTATGGGGACCTATAATACTCTCCTCAGATAAAATCTCAGTCAGACCTAGAGGGGACTGCAGTCTCTCAGCCCCACAGTCTTGCCTGTGCCACAGCCAGGTGTTCACCTATCACGTGCAGTCACCCCTCCCCTGGGTGACAGCTCCTAACTTTCCTTTGTAGGCTTGGCCCTCCTCCTCTTTACTTTAATCACATGGTTCTGACGGGCTTTTCCAAGCACAGTATTCCTGTCCCACAGGGCTAGCCACAGTGCCAGTCACTAAGCTGGTACCTCTCAGCTCCCCACCTGCACTTCCATGGTCTGTTTGGCAGCGGCTGGAAACCAGCAGATTCTACTTCCCAGACTCCTTTGCCAGGTAGGTTCTACCAGTATCTTAGAGAGGAGAGACAGACTGTCCCCCTCACTGTGAGCATGGCGGTTGCCTAATAGGGAGGTGGAATGGGTTCTGGGCTTCAATGGCCAGGACATTGGCAGGACATGTTTTATGGGTCCAGAACCAACTGTGATGACATCTCTAACAGCACAGACCAGATGGGGGCTCACACGTTCAGCCCAGGGCTGGGAGGGGCTTCCTGCCTCTGGCTTTTCTTTTTGCTTCTCAAGTTTTCCCAACACTGTTGTTACTGATTCCCTGCATTCAATTCCCTCCATCTGAAACACCCCAGGTAGTCTCTATTTTCCTGACTTCATGTGACCATTACAGTACTGGGCAGATAACTCAGAATGATAGAGCCCTTCAGCCAGTAAGAAAAATTCTCCTCTCTTCTCTGCTTTTGAGCCTCTTAGGATGGAAGCAAGAAACTTAGGATGGAGTCAGTCCAGGACTCGGGAAAGATGCTGGCCAGAGAATGAAGGCAACGTGTAGAAAAAGGCAAGGGTGAAGAATGAAGCAAAGATATCTGATGGTGTTGATGTCCTGGTTCTAGGAGACCTCTATTCTTTCTGGGTTTGTTAATGAAAGCAAATAAGTTTCCTTTCTGCTTATACAAGTTTGAGTTGTGTTTCCAGAACTTGCAGTCAAATGAACCCTGATGAACAAAAAAAGCAGAGCTTGCCAAAAGAGACTGAAGTGGCATGAGGCAACTGTTTACAGAAAAGCAATGCCTGGAGGAACAGGAGAGTGGTCTGGCACCACCCTTCAGCCACCCTAGTCTTCACACCTACCTTTTCTTGCTTGGCTGTGGGGTCTAGAACAAGGGTCCCATCAGAGTCCAGAGCACAGGTGACCCCACAGAAGAGAGCCCGCATGGGCACACCTGCGTCCACCAGTGCCATGCAGGCAGCATTCAGGCAACAGGCTAGGAGCTGAGCAACACGGGGAGTGGTTAAGAAATTTCTACTGTAGGCAGCAGAACACATCCATGTTTCCTTTCACCCTACTGATGCCTGTGGCAGACATCACTTATCAATCACAGAAAGGCAATATGGTAGAGTAGTTAAAAGTGGTTCTGAGATTGAGTAACCCTGGGTTCCACACCTAGCTTTGCCAGCTGTGTGACTTTGCTCAAGCTCATCAGTTACATGGGAGTATGTTCTAAGTATCCTCAGGGAAGGGGAAGAAAACTTTCCAGGTCACAGGGGTATGGCACTGGGAAGCCAGGCCCAGAACTTCGGAATCTACCAGGCAGCCACTACGAGGTAACAGAGCTGGCAGGGTGATGGAGGTAGAGCCACCCTGCTGCTGCCCTCAGCAGGCAAGGGCAGTTTGTGACCATGGCGCAGTGGAAGGAGAACACAGGTCTGGAGTCCGCTGACGCTGCCTCAGTTTCCTTTTTTTCTTCCATAGGCCCAGCAGAGCAGATGAGGGCCCAGGTTTAGGATCAGTCAGTGCCAGCCCTGCTGCTGACCCTCTGACACCTCCCTTGAGCTTTAGTTTCCATCTCTAAAATAGGGTCACAGTAGCTCTTTTCTCTGCCTATCTGTAAAGCACTTGGCCAACACTGGGCCAGGTACCAGTGAAGCCCTCTAGAAAGGCCTGGTTCTAATCGTCACCGTCAACCTTGTTCACTGAAACCACAAGGATTTTTCAAGACTGAGCTCCTCACTCAACTGCTCTGCGTGCATAGGGCTCCCCGGCAATGAGAACCTGAAATCCTTGCTAAGGCTCGGAGTGGAAGTCACTGGAGTCTGATGGGCCTAGGCCTGTGTCCCACCTATACTGCCTTCTAGTGCAAAACTAGGCAAGCCACTTCTCCTTTTGGGGCCTCGGTTTCCTCACCTGAAACGTGTGAACAAAGAGATCTCATTTGCCAGGGTCCTTGGGCTCTAAAAGTAGATGATGCGGGCCCAGGTCCAGACCTGTCACTTAACATGGGAATTATAATGGCATGCATTTCATGGGCTGTATTAAAAGAGTTAATATGCATAAAGAACTTAGAACAGTGCCTGGCAAAGGGTAAATACTCAAGCTGTGTTTAATATTTTTCTTTGATTTGATGCCTGTCAAGTGCTTGGAGGTTTTTGTCTAGGAGACGGGGTGTATATGGCCATCAGAACAGAGGCAATCTGGGGGAAAGGATACGGAGCCAGCATCACTGACAACTTGCAGCACCACAGTGATGGAGGTGCGTGGGTGCAATGCTCCCAGCACTACTGCCTCACATGTGTTCCTGATCAACCGCTCCCGGCTCTTCTCTGCTACGCCTGGGGAAATGAGGAGAGGTTGTTCAGCTCTATCCTGCTATCTGGCTCACCTTCCCCACTGTGTCCCACCCCAGCCCTCTGGACTTTGTGAAGGGCCTGTAGTCTCTGCCTCGGTTGGTGCAGGACCGAAGGACAGTCACCTGACCCTATTACCTCCAGCATCCACCAAGTGGGGGTGGGAGAACCCAGGAGTTCCCACGTCCAAGCTGCTGCCCCCCCGCCCTCACTGCCAACCCAGTGGGCCCAGCCAGTGGGGAATGTGGGAGACAAAGTAAAATAGCAGGAAAACAGGTTAATGGAAAGAAAGGGAGATGGAGGCAGGGGAGAAAGGGGGAGGGAGAAATTAGCTAAAGAGAGGAAAAATGACAGATACTGAGACACAGAGGTAGAGAGCTGGAGAAAGACACAAACAGCTGGAGGGAGACAAGACTGGAGAAGGCAGGCAGGGGGCGCTGCGGAGAAGTTCCTATAGACTAGGAGCTTGGAGGGTCAGTGGGGTCCATTACCAGGCAGCCCGATCTTCGGCCTCAGGATCACTTCGAGTGTGGCCTTGTTGAAAATTTCTTTGCTGACCTTCACCTCAGCAGGTCCATACACGCCCGCTAGGACAGAGGTATCACCTGGGAAGACAGAAGGGGTGGCCTCACCCACACCTTCCCTGGCTTCTGGGACCCAATGCTCTCATAGCCAGATCTCCTCATGGCACCCTATTGTGTGGAGGCAGTGATTCTTTGAGCAATCACTCAACTACTCTGCCCATGTGTCCTCATCTATAAATGGGGATAACAACAGTACCTCTGCTGTAGTGTCTTGTGAGGGTTATAGGACTCAATTCAAGTGAAACACTTTAGAGCACTACCTGGCATGTGCTAAGTGTGCAGGAGACTCTTAATACTATTGAACTTCAACAGGAAGTTCTTCGTAAGAGCTAAACTTCTTCCTTCCTACTGCAGCTGACCTCAACTTCTCTTTCCAAAACTTTATCCAGCCTAGCTGTTGTCCCTCAGATACCCATCTCCAAATTCTGCAGCAATCTAGACACCTGAGAAGGGGATAAATATTAGGGGGAAATCTGATTGCTGCTTCTTTTCCCAGAGAGAGTATGAACAGGGTATAGGAAGTAAGACCTGAGAAATACAAAGAGACTGGACTAGAACAGGGGCTTCAAACTTTTCTGACCGTAACTCCCAGTAAGAAATATATTTGGCTCGGCGCCTATAGCTCAACCGGCTAAGGCGCCAGCCACGTACACCTAAGGTGGCGGGTTCGAGTCCCCAGCCCGGACCCGCCAAACAACAATGACGGCTGCAACCAAAAAATAGCCGGGCGTTGTGGCGGGCGCCTGTGGTCCCAGCTACTTGGGAGGTGGAGGCAGGAGACTCGCTTGAGCCCAGGAGATGGAGGTTGCTGTGAGCTGTAATGCCATGGCACTCTGCCCAGGGGGACAGCTTGAGGCTCTGTCTCAAAAAAAAAAAAAAAAAAAAAAAGAAATATATTTTACACTGGCCAGGCGCGGTGGCTCATGCCTGTAATCCTAGCACTTTGGGAGACCAAGGCAGGTGGATTGCCTGACTCACGAGTTTGAGACTAGCTCTAAACTTGAGCAAGACCCTGTCTCTAAAAAATAGCAGGGTGCTGTGGCAGGCGCCTGTAGTTCCAGTTACTTGGGAGGCTGAAGCAAGAGAATAGCTTGAGCCCAAGAGTTTGAGGTTGCTGTGAGTTATGATGCCACAGTACTCTACTGAGGGCAATGTAGTGAGACTCTGTCTCAAAAAAAAAAAAAAAAGAAAAAGAAAAAGAAAAAAAGAAACAGGCTCTCACTATTGCTCAGGCTGGTCTTAAACTCCTGAGCTCAAGTGATCTTCCTGCCTTGGTGTCCCAAAGTGCTAGGATTACAGGTAGGAGCCACTGTGCTGGGTCCTAGAATACACTCTTTGAGGGTCTGTCAAGAACTTCCTTTACCCCAGGATCTGTGGGTTTGGGGTTTTAGAACATGAAAGGGGCTGTCTTTCTCCTTAATTCTCAGATTCTAACCTCCTGCAATTCTCTCCTCTCTCAATCCCACATCCATCTTAACTCCTGCCCTATCTAATTCTCTTATAGCAAAACTCTTAGAAAGCTGTCCTTTCTTCCTTTCCTCCCTGACCTCACCAGTCCACTAGAGCAGTTTGAGTGCATCACTACTGACCTCCAATCAACCAACCCTCCTGTGATCTAGCCTCTCAGTAAGGGTCCAAGAGCTGGTCAGCCCTTACATCTCAAACACGCTCTTCTCTTGGTCTGTGATCACCACCATCTCCTAGTTTCTCCCCACCTCACTGGCCACTCCTTCTCAGTCTGTTTGGCTAGCCTGAGCTCTCAAGTTGGGGATCCTGGGGCTTGGTCCTAGGATCTCTTCATCTACACTTACTTCATCCAGTCATTAGCCTGAAATACCACCTATAGCCAGAGGGTTCCAAATTGTCTAGATGCAGCCTGAATTTCTCTTCTGAATTCCCGGCTTGTATGTTGCCTTTCTGATTGTCTACTTGGTACTGCAAACTTAATGTTCCAAGAACTCCTCATCTTTCCTCATGACAGCTGATATGGGCAGAAACCTCCTTATACCTAAACCAAACCATAAATACATTTTTCAGTTTTCCCTTCAAACTATATCCAGAATCTCATCACCTCCACTGCTTCTACTTTGTGTGTGAGCCACAAATATCTTCCTCTTTCCCCATAACCCCTACGGTCAACATGGCAGCCAGAAATTTTGTTAAAGTGTATTGAGATCATGCTACTCCTCTACACAAAACTTGCAATGGCTCTCATCTCACTCCCAAGACCCTACAGCAGCAGTTCTCAACCTGTGGGTCGTGACCCACAGGAACTGTATTAAAGGGTCAGGGCATTAGGAAGGTTGCGAACCACTGCCCTATAGGATTGGCAATCTTCCTCACCCCTCCTGCCTTCTACCCTACTAACTTCTTTCTGCTCCCTGCTCCAGCCACACTGGCCTCCTGTTTCCCAAACATTCCAGGAAGGCTCTTACCTCAGGACCTTTGGCCCTGCGGTTTGCACGCCTGGGATGTTCTTCCTCCTGGTATTGTTAGGATTTGCTTCCTTGCCTTTAGGTCTTTTTTTGAGACAGAGTGTTCCAGCTCACAGCAACTTTAAACTCTTGGGCTCAAGCAATCCTCTTTTCTCAGCCTCCCAAGTAGCTGGGACTATAGGCGCCCCCCGCGACACCCAGCTAGTTCACCTACCTTTAGGTCTTTATTCAAATAGCACCGTTTCAGCAAGGTCTTTCCTGACCATCCTATTTAAGACTGCAGCCCTCTCCAGTACATCCTATTCCTCTTCTCAACTATATTTCTCTCCATAGCATTTTACTACATGGTTGGTTTAGTTATCTTTTTTATTGTGTTTCCCCTATTAGAATGTAAACTCTGTTAGGACAGGGATTTTTTTTTTGCAGTTTTTGGCCTGGGCTGGGTTTGAACCTGCCACCTCTGGTATATGGGGCCTTCGCCCTACTCCTCTGAGCCACAGGCACTGCCCCCAGGGTTTTTTTTTTTTTTGAGACAGAGTAATACCTTGTTACCCTTGGTAGAGTACCATGGTGTCATAGCTCACAGCAACCTCAAATTCTTGGGCTCAAGTGATTCTCTTGTCTCAGCCTCCTGAGTAGCTGGGACCACAGATGCCCACCACAACACCTGGCTATTTTTAGAGGTGGGGGTCTCACTCTGGCTCAGGCTGGTCTCAAACTCCTGAGCTGAAGCAATCCACTGCCTCAGCCTCCCAGAGTCCTAGGATTACAGGTGTGAGCCACCTCGGCGGCCTCATGCACAGGGTATTTTTAATTGATTATATTTATTGATGTATCCTCAGTGCATAGAACAGTACTTAGCACAAATACCTATGTGTTTAGTGAATGAAAAAAAAAATCAACGAAAACAGGTTTTTTTTTTGTTTTTTTTTTAAGAGACTGGGTCTTGCTATGTCATCCAGGCTGGAGTGCAGTGGCATGATCATAGCTCACTGCAAAGTTTGAACTCCTGGGAGCTCAAGCCATTCTCCCACCTGGGCCTCCTGAGTAGCTAGGACTACAGGTGCAAAAGGAGGTTCTGAACTTGGGTAGACAGTAATGCCTGAGTGAGAGGATTAAGCTTATGAGGGTGATCCCCAGGTCTATCTCCAGAAGCTTATTTACCTGGGTCAGGGCACTGAATATAATTTGAGAGGTATTTAGCTAGGGGAAGAGGAATTTACCCAGAAGGAAAGATCTACTACTAAAGCCTTAATCTTAAGGAGAGATCATATCATATGGAGAGATGTATATCCCAATCAAAGGGATATTTACTCAATTGGTAACGTGTGAGTGGGGGAAATATTCCTCAATTCAGGGTAGGGACATTACTCTCAATCTGAATATTTAATAGGGCAATGTCTGTCACAGTTTAAGGCATAACTGAATCTAAAGTGGTAATCTGCTAGTTTTAAGAGGCATTTACGCAAATGGACAAGTTTGCATCAGTTCGGGATGTGTGGACCCCGAGGGATGTGCGTGAAACGGAGCAAGAATCTAGTCAAAGGCCATATTTATCCTGGTGAGGAAATTTTCCCTATTTTCGAATATTCATCCTTGTGGCGGAGGTCTGCCCCTCTCTGATGCTGAGAGATATTTACTGGCTGATGATGCCCTCTCCTTTCTAGTCTGGGGAAAGATATGTGCGTATCTCAGCGTATCCACCTGGACGAAAAGTTCTGCATCAGTGCAGGAAAGACATTTATCAGCTAGCATCGCGAGGAGGTGGACACTCCATTGCGGTAGCCGCTCTCCAAAACAAATCATACTGTGCCCCGCGCGGTATTTACCAGGGTTACGTTCTTACCTTGCATGAAAGAAGCAGAGCCATCTGGCCGAGACAGCAGGTTCTGTTCACAGGCAAAGTGCCGGAGGCTGCAGCCGGGGCCCCGAGGGCCGGACTCCGTTCCAGTTTCAGCGCGGATCTTGGCATCTGCTAACATAACCCCCTCCATCGCGCCAGAACTCGCGTGCGACCGCAACTGCGCTTCCGGCTAGCAGCACGCGCAGGCGTATAGGCTGCGTAGCTAGTGCGCACGCGCAGGTCCTGGGGTCCGACCAAATAGACTCCCGCACGTGGTTTAGCGTTTACCAACAATCTGGCTCCGCCCACTCACAACCCAGGCAAAGCTATAGGACTGTAGAGAAGATGGGGCGTGCCTTGGCTTCGCCTCGTCCTACCCGAAGTCCCCAGGCCCTAAACCCGGGAGGCTTTAGTTAAATTGCCCTCTTCTTTGCCTGTTACAGGACCAGCAACCAATGAGGCGGTCGGCATTAATTTTGGGAAGATAGACTGTACTCTACACCTCTCATTCATCTTACCTACCACAGGACGAGAAGAAGCTGGTTCTGCTAGTCAGAGTGGTGCCGGTATTTGAGTCAGGCTCATGAAGGGGCAGCCCTAGTCTAGAGTAGGAGGGGGCGGATCGCCAAGTGGTTGTCAGTCAAGATGGCGGGAGCGATCGCCGCGGCCAGGGTCTGGGGGCCAAGCCGAGGCCTGGGCCAGGCTGCCCTCCTGGCGCTGCGGCGGCCTGGGACTCGGGGGCTAGCTACATCTGTGAGTACAGGGGGCCCCGGGGGATTTTCTCCAAGAGGGAATAGTAATGTAAAGGCTATCTTCAAAGTGTGGAGTCCCTGCAGGGCATGAAAGAAGGGCCGTCATAGAAGGAAAAAGGACTAGGAGAGGACACTCAAGGAAAAACATCCGCTTAGTTAGGAGCGGAAAAGCAAGAGGGTTGGAGAAGAGGGGTGGGGGTTTCTCATTTGTTGTCATTCATCATTAGAGGAGACGCTTTGGAAGGACGGGAGGATGGCGAGACCTTGATCCTCAGGAGTGGGAGAATGAAAATGACTTCTTTAAAGCGAAAACTTTCTTCTGGTTAAAGAATGCTCTTCAAATAGGAGAAAGGAGAGATCAGTTTCCTGTCATGGGCCCTGCGTTTCTTTGCTTCTTTACCGCACTTATAATTTTAAAGTGAGTGACATAAAAAACCTGCTTGATTCTTGTGACCGAATGTCAAAACCCTATGTCCTCTTGTGCAGAGGACATGATTAGTAAGTCTTTGCTGAATTAATGAGGGAGGAAAAGAGGAAGAGAAGACAGGACAGTTTGCCCACAATTTTTTTTTGGCCAGGGCTGGGTTTGAACCCGCCACCTCCAGCATATGGGGCTGGTGACCTACTCCTTTGAGCCACAGGCACCACCCTGACATTTTTTTGTTTTTTTACGGAAGAGTCTCACTTTGTCACCCTCGGTAGAGTGCGGTGGCTTCATAGCTCCCAGCACCCTCAAATTCCTGGCCTCAAGTGATCCTCTTGCCTCAAGTAGCTGGGACTACAGGTGCCTGCCACAATGCTGGCTATTTTTTTTAGAGACAGGATCTCGCTCTTGCTCAAGCTGGTCTCGAACTTGTGAGCTCAAGCAATCCACCACCTCAGCCTCCCAGAGTGCTGGGATTATGGGCATGAACCACCATGCCTGGCCAGCCCACATTTCTTAAAAACACTTGAGAAAGCTTGTGTCTTGTCAAGGGGATCAGAATCTCTTTGATTAGATATTGCTAAAGGCAGGATCATGCTGCAGAAAACCTAGTTGGCAGGCCCTGCTTATAAAGGGGAGAGGCAGTGAGCTACAGAAAAACCTTGAACTAAAATCCCACAGATAAGAGGGTAGTAGTTGGTATAAGTGAGTGGGTTCTGGAGCTAGACCATGTGGATGCATATCTCTGTTTTGCCGCTTTCCAGTTCTGTAGCTTTGGGCAAAGGCCTACACCTTCTTGACCTAATTTCCCTTCTATAAAATAGAGATACCAGCAGCGACCTCATGGAGTTATTGTGAAAATGTAATATGTAAAATGGTAAGAAAGATCTGGGCCTGGCACAGAGAAAAGGGCAAGAGGAATGTTGGTCACTGTTGAAAGGACAAGTACTAACCTGGGAGATGGGGAGAAGGAAGGAGGTGACCTTGATGAGGTCCAGGAGAAAAATTTATAAAGCTCTTGTGAGGTTGGATCTGATCCTCTAATCCCCAATCAGATGGATCCCCAATCAGATGGAAGATGGAATTTGTAGAAAAAAGCTCTGGGTAGGGAAAGAAACAGGGGAGGAAGATGAAGAGTATGGGCCAGAAGTGGAGTATGAGTAATGTGGGAAGGAAGTCCCTTGAAGCTGGTTAGTGCAAAAAGGTTGCTGGAGCAGGGCAGGATGTGGAGGATGTGGGTAGGTGGGGTAGCTTTCTGCCTTTGGGCTGTTCCCTTTCACTTTTTTTATGGATCATATGCTCCACAGCTGACCTCAGTTCCTGGCAGTCCTAGGAGCCCATTGGCTGGGCAAGTGGGGCGGGAACTGGGCAGGACTGGGGCAGGCTAGGGAGAGGTCATTTGTTGCTGATTAAATCTGTTTTCTTCCTGGCTCAGCCTCCTTGTTACCTTTCTTGTCTCCTCTTTTTCCTTTATTTTTTTGGTTGGGAGTGGTGGTATAAGAGGAGAAGTCCCAACATTTTGTTTATTTATTTATTTATTTATTTTGAGACAGAGCCTCAAGCTATAGTCCTGGGTAGAGTACTATGGTGTCACAGCTCACAGCAACCTCAAACTCCTGGGCTTAAGCGATTCTCTTGCCTTAACCTCCTGAGTAACTAGGACTACAGGCACCCACCACAATGCCCGGCTACTTTTTGGTTGTAGCTGTCATTTTTTGGCAGGCCGAGGCCGGATTGGAACCCGCCAGCTCTGGTGTATGTGGCTGGCGCCTTAGCTGCTTAAGCTACAGGCACCACCCCAATATTTTATTTATTTGTATGTTAAAATTTTGTATTTTCCAAGAGTCACTGTTTTTCCCCCCTTATTTGTGTTTCTCACATCTATTCTAAGATTAAAAAAAGAGATTTTGTTGAGGGGGGAAGAGGTTAGAATTTAATCAAAGAAGATATTAAACTAGTGCTGTCCAAAGAACTTGTCACAGTAATGGAAATATATATATATATATATGTATACATACACACACACACATATATATTTTGTTGTTGTTGTTGTTTGTTTAGAGACAGAGTCTGATTTTGTCACCCTTGGTAGAGTGCCCGGGTGTCATAGCTCACAGCAACCTCCAACTCCTGGGCCTAGGTGATTCTCTTGTCTCAGCCTCCCAAGTAGCTGGGACTATAGGCACCTGCCAGAATGCCCAGCTATTTTTTTGTTGCAGTTTGGGGTTGGGTTCAAACCCACCACCCTCGGTATGTGGGGCTGGTGCCCTACTCACTGAGTGACAGGCGCTGCCCTACTGAACCCTTTAAATGTGGGCTAGTGGGACTGAGGATCCAAAGTTTTGTTGTTTTTTTTTTTTTTTTTGAGACAGAGTCTTGCTATGTTGCCCTTGATAGAGTGCTGTGGTGTCACAGCTCACAGCAACCTCAAACCCTTGGGCTTAAGTGATTCTCTT